GTGGTGGTGGTGGTGGTGGTGATGATGATGATGATGATAAACTACGCTCAGACTTTTTTTAAACTGGTTATTCCTGTCTGTTACACTGGACGAAGTCTTTCACCTCGCTCAAAGAAAATCAGCGAACAAACTGTTTTAAAAACAAGAGTAAACTCAGCAGATGAATTTGCATTTCCTATTTATTTGTGTGGCTGAAATTGTCGGTATTTCATTATACTTCACACCAATGGTCTTGACAGAAGCGGTCCACGGAGCGCCGACTGAGAAACAATGGTCTCCAGAATCTGAGACAAACACCGAGATCGGGGTTCGATCCAAGGACAATTTTACACGACAAGCGCCTGTAGGCACAACTGCTGTGCTGTCACTTTGACAACTTCTTGCTTAACAAAAGACCTGTTTTCTTTCTGGAAAAAAAAACTTTCGTTATGAAAGAGAAACAATAACTCTCATCTATGATAAACTTTCGCATTTTATCACCGATTTCTCATAATTCCATTGTCATAGGCCTAATCACAGCGCATTGGAAGTCTGTATAACGGAGCGTTTCTGTCTTAGAGTCCCACTTCTGATCTAAAATATACACCACACCATTCATTTACAAACAAAAATATATTTCCCGTTTCTAAGCATTTTTAAAAGAAGTACCAGCATCTCTTTTACTTCAAACGGCTGATCACGGTATTCAATTCATTATGACAGGTTTCTAGATGTGTGTGTAGGTGAAATGTCAATTTATATAGGACATTCAAATCCGTTTCACTCTGGTTGCGACACACAACTCACACACAATTATCTTGCAAGACTATGTAAATAAATTTCCAGAATTTTAAAGTCAGCCTAGTTTTCTTAGGCTAAAATTCTTCTGGCTCGCTTCTAGACTTATCGTACGCCGTATGACATAATGAAGACAGCAGAAAATTTTGATTTACATGGGAAGGGGGAAATGTTATCCATTTCCGTAATTGTTTACAATTGTCATCCTCTGACTCTGCTCTCGAGAATCTGATGAAGTTTCGCTCATCTGGGCTTTAAAGAAACGGAGCACCTGCAGAGATGGTGACTCACCATTATAAACGTAAGAGGGACCACATTAATTAACAATTCTACTATGATAATGTGAAATTATTTATGCTCAAATTCTAATCCAAGCATCTGGGTAACTGCATTAAGAAGTCCATGAACACCGCCTTTCAATTTGTCAGACGTACAACTAGACAATTCCACTCCAGTTCGTATAACAACATAGAAAAAACTCTTTGTCTGCCTGTAAAATAGTGAAGTCAATGGAACCGGAAAAATGCAAAAAGAAAGATGCAAAGATCTGAATGAATCAAGAAAGGATTGCATTAAATGAATGCACAGGAACAAATAAAACAAACGCCCAGACCTGACAGAAGTAAAATAAACGCAAACTCAGACAACAAGAAACAAAGAAGATATACATACTGAAAGGAACAAAAAAACCAACAAAGAGTGAAAGGAAGAGAAATATACAGGAAAACGAAAAGAGCTAAGACAAAACCTGAATACCTGTAAAGGCGGAGAAAGGAAGACGTAACAATGTAATATAAATAGTAGCCACACGACTTAGGCCGTTTGAACCAAGGGGGCGTGATGTCTGGCTACATCAGAGACCAGTCGGTACTCCGTATGGTTCTTCGTCAAGTGTGGGAAGATATTTTTGTGTAGGACTGTAGCAAGTGGGTGTAGGCGCCTGTTCCCACATGCAGTGCCAACGGGATGTTCGCCCCGGATATGAGATGTGGACTCCTGCGGCAATGTGCCAGCCGTCTGCGGGCAATTCGCCACAGCAGGGCCACGTGCCTCCTGCTTTGAGGGTGGGTCTCCCCTACACCCAACCCAGACCTACTGCAAAAACGCCAAGGGTGTTAAGCCCTTTCTTTCAAATTTAGAAACAATATCCTCAACTTCCCGCTATGCAGACGTAATGTATCAGCACCGAAACATGCTCTTCGCCTATAAGCGTTCTTAAACAAAGGACAGACTTATCATGTGATTCTTTTGTTCCTATTTGTTTGCCTCGAAATAAATTCTGGTTCAATGAAATTGTTTTCCCATGAATTAACTTACCGTGACCACAAGTTACGTACTGAGCGATACTAAGCAATGAAAACTTACTTATTCAGAACACGAATATTTCACATGTTAACAACAAAGATAAACACTATCTAAGCAGCAAGCCCCTCTGAAACGCCCGTAAACCTCTACCAGACAGCACGGTTCAACATCCGAGAAGACATATAATACAAAATACAGTGCTCAAATAAATGAGTGGGCCTAAGAAGCATTAATTAAATACGCGAGTAATCGATGCTATTACACAATAAGGATTCATATAGGTCACCTAGTATTCCAGAGGTAACAGTGGATTTACCATTTGCTATGATGTGCAGGCACGGAATACATGCAGAACTGTTGAGGAGGAATATCTGGAAAACCATCATTTGGAAGACCAAGAAGAAGACGGACAATATGACTCTCAGGGAGACAATAAGAAGATAGGAAATGGATAGATCTGGCTTAGGATAATATCCAATGGCAGGCTTTGGTATATGCATTGTTGAACCTTCTTGATTATACTACAAGATACTAGGATATAGTTAGTTTTAACCCCAAAAATGTTTCGCTAAGTTCGTTCACCTATGTAATATTCATCTGTACGCCATCTTTATTACCGTATCAGAGAAATCATTTTAAGGAGCTCGTAAAAACTACTCCATCTTTAAAGCTAAGCGGTTAGAAATTCTTTACAGACAGTGATGCGAATAATTTTGCATAATTCCTGCTTATTGGTCATGAGGGAAGTTCGCATACTCTTTTCCCTGTCGATGCAGAGATTCACAAGTCAATACTTCTTTCATTTGCCATTAATATTTCAATTACGGGGAAATGCTTGAAGAATTTCTACACATAGATATTTTATCAATATAACAGGTTCCAAATCATCTTCGTTTATCAGTCCTCCGTCGTGTTGATACACTAATAGCATTATCAAGTGTCTCTACACATTGATTGACCACATATTGTTTTAAAATACATTAAGTGCGTCACAACAGAGACGCTGTTTATGAAACAGGCAGTGACAGGGTGACATGCTCCAAGAACAAGCAGTTCAGGCACAGTTTGCAGACAGCAGCCACAACAGACTGGAGATAAAACCTCAGTCCATCCAGAACAGATCCGTCTATATTTAATTCAGGAACCTGTAACTCTGCAGACAAAGTGGTGAAGAAGAATAACACTGACAGCTACCAACTTAAATTCCATATAAAGACAGTGACGTAAAAAAACGCGAATTCTTTCCGAAAAAATGCCACATACTAGAGCAGATCGGCCATTCGGACGCTTAGAAATATCTGAGCGTATCCGTCTCCATGCCTGAGCATGTGTAAACCAATAAGGACCTCGGTCACTGCTGTTTCAACAATGTGTTCCAATAGTAACCTTGGTTACCGATGTTGCAACAATGATTTCAACAATGACCCCGGGTCATTTGGGTTGAATAATTCCTAGGAAAACCGCGACAGACAAACGGACGGCCCATAAGGTGTTCTTCGCTCAAATTAGAGCGTGGACAACACCTAAGAATGCACATACATCAAGCCGAATTCCAATCCATATTTCGGTAATTCAGATGTCAAAAGCTTCTAAATAAACTTCTTTCGAAATACGATCCTGTTATGTACCATCACAACTACACCACTTAATTTTAGACTTTTAAGTATCAATAACCAAATTATTTCGCAATCGTGCACATCTTCAAGTTACTGAATAAATAACAGATTGGCAGACAGTTCAAAAAAACAGGAAACCAATTACAGTAACTATACTCACAACTACCATTCCTCGTTCATAAACATATTTCTTATGGTTCGAGAAACACAAACAGAAACACTGCTGCAACTTGCCAAACTTCTTAC